AGGAAATAGAAGTGTGTCAGAATGTAATTATACAAACCACACTATATATGAATGTGGCAAAAAACTCATATTTTCATTTGTTTTTAATCTGAAAAGAAATATTGAATAGAAATCAAGCTTTCACTTCTGCTTGGGATGTAATCCTCATAGTTCTTAATTTATTCTATATTTCAAGAGTGCTGACACGATCTTTTATGGTTACTCTTGTAAAGACACTGTGAAAAAATGCAATTAACACCTCAACAATTTAGTAATAAACTTTATAATAAAATAAAAGACTGCCTACTGTAATTTTCAATTTTTGTAAAATCTGCTATTCAGTAGACTTTTGCAAACCAGTCAAGCGAATTTCCTTTAACTTCATATTAAAGTCTTTTCTGTTGAAGCCTTTTGCCCTTAAGCACAAGCTAGGCAAGCTAAATTGTTTACAATTGCAGTTTCAGAGCTCTCCCTTTCTTGTTTTTGGCTGGAAACATAGGGCGAGAGGATTAGTTTGAGGTTGCAGTAAATGTCACTCTCAACATTGTGCTTTGGAATTACTTGAGTCTTCTGTAACCAATGACACCAAGTTACCATCTGCTCTGCTGTGATGCTGGAAGTGCTCTCTGCTACGCAGTTAAGCTACAGGATTACTAATAGGAACCAAAACTAAACAGAACAGAAAGTGAAGGTCTAGAAACAAATTAGACTGTCCAGAAAAAAATCAGTGATTGAACAATTTCTTGGCTTTTCTGTAATGGGGTGGTGGTGCTTGTTATGCAATTTATTCTAGGAAAACCTTTCTCCGTCCCCTGCTTACAGGGTCCTTCTTGAAAGTTGTGCTGGTGTTTTGTTGCTGTTAGATGCGGACATCAGATGTTCCGTAAGTGAAGTAGCCAATTTGGAAGCACTACAAACAGACAGTTTGATCTTACTTTTCACTGATGGCAGTTATAGCTATCTTTTCATTGATGCAGTTTAAAGCACGGTTGAAAATATTAATTAAGTATTCTTGGTTATGAAAAAGCA